CTTTCCAACAGCGAATACAATATTCTTTGTATTCGCCAGGATTTATTCGCATTCTTTTAGAAAAGCTTTGATTTCAGGTCATATTGTTTTGAAAGGCTTGTGTTATCCTATTTATTATGTGAGTAAACATGAATTTCAGAGTGTGTCTTTGCACTAATCACGTAAAAATGAGATTTAAAAAGCTTAACTTTTCTAAAAAATATAAATACCTTCGCTTGTGTAATATTTAACTTTAAAAATCTTATCATCTTCGTGTGTTTTAATTGAATTTGTAGATAGAATTTCGGCGTGTGAACTAATAGACGGTTGTCAAAAATGTTTTCTTTGTGTCTAGGTAGCTGTCAAAGAATGTTTCTTTTCAGAAAAGTTAAGTCGTGACGATTATTCGATTGTTTTGATTTGCCCATACTTGAGTAAGGTTGCCGGTAATACAAACTCCTAAAAAAGAAACAGATCAGCCCAGCATGATTTCCGAACACATGCGAAAAACGAAAAAGAGAAAATACTCAAAAATTAATGTCTAAACCATATCTTTATATACTAATTAAAAATGACAGGAGTGAAGTTTTACACATATAAGCAACAACTTATCGCTATAGTCTTTTAATGATAACACTAAACTTCTATCTTTACGTACTTAGTTTATTTATAGTAATCCCCGAATAATACTGCACTGATTATCTACTTTTTTTGAGGTTTGATTGATTAAAAAAATTGTTTAACCAATTAAATTTACTGCTTATTTACATTTTCACATATGACCTTTTTTTAGTACTGTATTATTCAGAGTCTTGTGACAATTACGGCGCACTACGGCTAATTAAGTCAATCCATAATTTCTTCGTCTCGTATTTATCAATCGCGAGCCATAGCTGGCAATCCAATAGGACCGCAAGAAATGGGTTTACTTATCTGCGCCTGGAATAGATCGATATATGTAAAATTACAAAGTCAAGTTAGTTAGAGTAAGTATCAATAGCTAAGAATTAGGGTTCTGAAAATGCTCATGCCGGCACATTGGGACCAGGCCGGGCATTAGTGCCTTATGCCCATGCCTGTGCCTATAGGCACAAAAGTGCCAGGCACTATTAAAGGCATGGGCACAAAGTTAGACAGTGTTAAAAATTCGTTGTGTATGTATTGTTTTTGCACGTGCCGAATTTTTAACACTGGTGCTAGGCACGACTAAATAACAAATATCAAAATTCTGTGCCCATGCCCATGCCTGGATTTTTTTGTTGGGCACAGACATGAGCCCAGGTTGCAGGCTCCTACTAAGAATAGTGTGTATTATTTACAAAATTGCATTCGACACTTTTAATTAGTACATCTATTTTATCTTTGAATACATAGATCCATTTCATATATGGTTTGTGTTACATGTGCAAATAAGTGAACGCTGAGAAATGCAGAAATCAGAGTTAGAGTCATGACTAAAAGAGGGCTTACATTATACCAAAAGTTTGTAAGAAATTTTTTTAAGATGGTGTTTGTATAAAGGGCCTTAGCAAATGCATTATCTATATTTTATCAAAAAATTAAAATAGTATTTATATGTAGTACTTTTGCAAATTCTTTCTCTCTTTCAATACTAATATATATTATTATAAACAAGTTAAAATATGTTAGAATAATATTCTTACAAAGCATCTGCGGTCTGTAACCCGGGCTCGTGCCCGTGTTCAACAAAAATTCAGGCATGGGCACGGTACAAAACTTGGCATGGGCATGGGCACGGGCACAAAAATTGGTATTTGTTATTTAATTGTGCCCGGCACCTTGTGTCGTGCCCATGTTAATGCCTGGCATTTGTGCCCATGCCCATAACAGTGCCCGGCACTTTGTGCTTAGCACATTGTGCCGTGCCTATACATGGGTGTCTAAATTATTTTTTAAAAAAAACAATTTCGACAAACATTTCGACATTGCTAGGTTTTTTATATGAATTCCACAAAGTTACTATACTACCTAACGTATTTTAACATAAAGAATTCAAATAATTTCACTAAAAATTTCAACAACTATGAAATTTAATTTCGCCATTAAGAAAAATTAATTTCAACAGACTAAATGTCGAAATAATTTTTTATTAAGAGGAGTAATTTAGACACCCATGTATAATCGTAGGCTACTTTAAGTTTTGGATTGTACTCGGTGCTAATGGGAAAAATGTGCATCTTTCGGATTCTGCGCACCAATGCACATTTTAAAAAGAACCATTAATAACAAATGAAACCTTCTTTATAACATTTCATTAACATTTTCTATATAATAAATAAGGTTAATGCGTATTAAGTTTAATTTTTGTTCCTTATGTTCTCTATATGGATGAATGTGTATTAAATACGGAAATGCGCACATTTTTTGGAATAATGCGAAATTCATGCGCATCTGACTATTTTCTAGTTAGAATTTTCTCTAATGAACACGGACTATCATGTTTTAAGCTTTGACCAGCAAATTGAATTTCGTCAAGGGCGTAGCATATATAATTGATTTTAAATCGATAGATAAATAAAGTGTTGCAATGCTTTTAACGTATCTCTAAATTTAGCAGCATCTATAACTGTATAATGGTTACGCATTGTGGAAATACTTGTTTGAACTAAAAAAGGAAAATTTTATGGAAAAATAAGGATCCTCATGACATAGTGTCAAGGTAGTATTCAAGGTTATAAAGAAAATAATCTGTAAATTTCATTTTAGTAATTTCGATTGGATCTACAAGGCTTATCTTATAATTTCGTTCACGTGTAAGGATTAGTATACGTAAAATATTGAAATGATTAAAATAACAGGGATATTTTTTTGATGAGATTAGTAACACTCTCGTATGCGCACACGAGTGACATTAACTAAAGAAATTTCCTATAATGAATCGTATTTCAACTCAAATAATTAAAATAATTACGTAATCTCGTTCCAGAGCCGATAACGATAACGTTGCGTTTTCTAATTAGCAAAAATTCTTAAATTTGTATCACCCCAAAGCCACGTATTACATCGTTTGCTTAGATTAAGTTTAAATATTGATGTCACAAGGTATGGAGATCGCGCTGATCAAATACCAGATACGTACGTATGCAAAATACTTTGCGCTTGAGCTAACGGAAATCACATTCCGCTTATCCCGACGGCGTATGATACTGTCAATGCAATATCCAATCGGATGCATGAATTTGCATCTAATCATACACCAAATTCCTGATAAAAAAATTCTTGTAAAAATTTTTAAACAAGGGTTCAAGAAATTATATTTTAAATTTACCCGCAGAGAATTTTTATGCATAATCTATTGAAATTCTACAATTATAATAAAGGAAAAGATCCGTATGTAACATAATATCAACTTTTTAATGAGACACCTGCTATATTTGTATACGGTTGTACTAATATGGAACGGTAAACAGATGATATAATGTACGTGCGAATTAAAAGCAACTTTTAAGATACCAATAGCAGTTTTTTCAGATTTCCTTTTGAGCGCGATGATAACACGAAGAACGTGCAAAGTTCATTAATGTTGCATTGAGCAATGAAAATTATTAAACCTTTTAAATTTGAACAACAGAATTATAATTACGTAATTTGCTCTTCTAAATTATTTTATAAAAAATTAACTATTTATTCATTACTAGCAAAATGTCCAAAATAGATTTATATTTTGAACGCTTTTTTTTTACCAATCTAGCAAAATGAATAATCTCATTTAACAATATAATTAAATTAGGTTGTTTGTAATTCATACATTTAGTTTTGATTACGATACCACTATTTTGGAAACGTATGTAAAAAAATAAAACTAAGTAAATAAATGATAAATGCTTCACGACTAAAAAGTTAAGTATTAGATATTTAAAGTATTTCGGGATAGTAAACTCCGATTACACTTCCCAAATTTGCTTAATAGAGTACAAGATTTCTGAACGATAATGGTATTTGATACAAAAAAACTTTAAATGATGCACATGCACGATAAAATCGCAAATCGTATTATGTATCGTCTTATTGATAATTAGCACTGTTACCATTAATTTAATATATTATCTCTGATGTTTCACGTAATTAAATAACATTATTGAGCATTCCCCAAACTTAAATTTTAGGTACCAAATTACATATTAATTAATCAATGCTATGCCCTAAAAAAAATTTTCTGGATCTTTGATCTAAATTATCGGGTTTATCGATCAATTTCGGGCACCCTTTCAAAAACATCTTACTCATTTGATTGAGTACGATAGGAGTGCCCGAAATTGATCGACAAACCTGATAATAACGCGTCTAATCCACATTCCCAATTATCTAACCTCAATTAAACATAGAAATTTAGTAATCTAATTTTTAAATTCCGATGTATTTCATAAATCGCAATGATGCAAGTAATAGTAAAGATAAAATCATATTAGAACGTGTCTTTATAATTATTACTTAATCTGTAGTGATTCTTACCTATATTTAATAAAAAAATTCGGATAATTTTTTTACCAATTAGTAAAGAAACATTTTCAAAGATTATCTTTTTTAGATTTATAAAATCTTTGTATATATCTAATATAGCTGATCTGATAAAATAGCTCATATAATTAATATAAATGTCTATATGAATAGCTATATAATGTCAGTATGAATGTTTTATGAATGAACCTTGATTTTATTACAATGAATTTAAGTTTAGTGGAAATTGCCGAAAACTTTATTTTTGATTGTTTAATAGTTATTAATTATTTAAATTAGCGTTCGCAATTGGAATTGTGACTCCGACAATATATGCTTCTTTCATTTCTCCATATGAATGACGGAAAGTGAAAACCTGTAAATCATTTCATTCCACTCATTATCATCGCAGTGATACACACCCCTAATTCTTATAGGGGTGCAATGATAATGAGTGAAATGGTTTACAGGTTTTCCCTTTCCGTCACTCATATGAATAAATTTTTTATATAAAGCACTCATTTCTCTTCAGCTTGTTATTTGGCGAACTCAGTTTTAACGAAATGATTTGTACATTGACTTTGAGTGGTCCTCCCCCAGTACATTCAATAATTGCGACCTCAACTATTTCTCAATACACCATCTTTTTCGCGCGTCAAGATGAGGAATACAGAGTTATATACTCTGGCTTATATGTGGTCTTTAAAATCCCTGACCAGGAGGATGTCAAAAAGTCAGTTAATGATTCTAACAAAGGAACACCTAATTATTTCATACTCTTTAGATCAATATTAAAAAATTGCATCTCTGCCTTAGGGCTAAACACCGAATGGGTGTTTGTGTCCGAGGTCTCTCGGGAATTATGGTCTGAAATAAAAAAGAATGATTATCAATTTGTGGCGTCCCTCCGTAATGCTTACAAATTCAGTAACGCGCAAAAGAAATTGGGTGTTCGTTTTAAGCCTTATGATTACAATAAAAAATTCAATAAACCGAATGATAGCGCATACGACACTGAGTGCCCACAGTTAAACTCTACCGAAAATTTTTCTCAACAAATGTCTTTGTATTCGTACTATGAAGACTTTTATCTCTTTAACGCATCGGGTTCACCCATAGATAAACTTCTATGGGAACTATTCGAATATTAATGTTTTAATATTCGTAACTTTTTAATTATGTATGGAATTAAATATTTATAAGGTTCTCCGGTGAAACCTTCTATGACATGATTAAGCTATTTAAATGTATATATACATCAAACTTCTAAGAGAAAACAATAATATATATATATATATATAAGATTGAAATTTGAGAGATGCACTTTTATTTCGGGTTTCATTTTTTTCGTTTTTATTAAATACGTGATCCAGCGTTAGTATTGGCCAGTTACTAATTCATTATTAATAATATTATAAATTTATAATTTAACGCTGTTATAGACCTTTCTCTAGAACTATACTAGTCTTAAAAGCTCCCTGATTTAATGATTTAGTCTAGTTTCTAACGCAAATTTATTCGTGTATATTATGGTTTAAATATATATATATAAAAAATAAACTTATAAATCTATTGAAATATATTTTTATGTTCTATGTGTCTGTATTATTTAAATAATGTCTAATATTTAAGAAATGCTTGGTAACTGATATATGTGCCGAATAGAGATGGGGTTCATACATGCGCATGATTCCTTAATCGTGCGCGTTAATGCGCATTCATGCGCATTTTATCCCATCTGAATTTTATATAGGAAAATTAAGTATATATAATTTAGGCCAGATGAGATGCAATTTCGTGAAGTTTAAGTGCAGAATTTCTAATCAAAACAGAAACATGATGCTTTCACAACATCTTCGCTAGAGAATAATTGAAAAAAATTTTTTAGGAAGTTTATTATTTTGAAAATTGCAAACACTTAGATGTTAGCAAGTCGAGTTTTCAAGCAACTTCGAAGATATAAATATATTGAAAATTTTACAACAAATATTAATAAAATTAAGATTTTTTGAATGAAATCTTGAGTCATATCTTTAGATGTAGCTATTACCATGGTTATAATAATGTTATAATTTTGGCTAACCGAATTAATTATAGACTATTTGTGTATTTTGAATTTTGGTCTAGTTTTTATAGTTCAACTTTTTGAGACCAAGCCCAGCCTATGTAAGACAATTTATAGATGTTTCATTGAACTTGAACAAGTTCATGAATTTTGAACTGAACCTGAACTGAACTTGAACCTGGTTTAAAAGTTCAATATTGAACTCAGACTGAACTGTATTTTTAAAAATAAGTCTGGTTCAATTTTGAACTGAACTTGAACTCAACTTAAAGTTTGGTCTAGTTCAGGTTCATAGAAACACTAGTATAGGTAGTATTAACAACTCTAAGGCAATATTATATATGGGACAATTTTAAACAAATTTGACTATTTTTTCAAATTAAAATTGCCCAAAATTTTATTAAGATAAGGGTGCTGGCTGACATTTTTATATAATTTTCATTTACTATGAGGGCTCCCTCCCACATAAGCTTTAATATGATTGGCCAATTTAAAAAGAATTTGGTCTAACTAATTTTTTTTGTGTAATGTAAGATATTGATATAGTACATGCTCAACCCCACCCTATGATGTAAACTATTAAATTCGAATAATCTGGATATATAAAATCAAAATCCATATAATACAGATTATATAAAATCAAATATGGATAATATGGATTATATATCATCATATTTGTACTTATATGGATTGCTCTTCAAACTGTATAGTTCTAACTGGAACTATATAGTTTATGTAGTTTAAACAGTTGATCAGCGATCTGTATAAACTGTATATTATCAATTTCTAAGATTTCCTTTTTATATAGACTTTTTTTTTTTATTAGATTTTTGTATGTTTTCATATATATTAGTTGATGTTTTGGCATTATTTTTATTACAATCAGACTTTTTTTTTAATACAATTGAAAATAAATGCTAATACAATTTATTTTATTTTCTCTAATTTAATTTTTACAGTACCAGACAGTAAAAGATATCCACTCTTTATTAGTAAAACTTTAAATTATTATACTATTTTTTAAAAAAAATTAAATCAAAAAATCCTCTAGTAAATTGATAAATTTTTAGCTAAACTACATTTCTGTTAGAGATTTTTTTTATTATTTGTTTTAAAAAAGTTATAAGGATTAAAGTTTATATTAGTTTAAAAAATTGGCATTTAATATAGAGAAAAGAAAACATATATAGATTTTTAACCAATTAAAATCAATTACACAAAATTAGCCAAGCAGAATTGATTATATAAGCACCAAAATTGGCACCTATATATATAGGTTGAATGTTTTTTACTGTCTTATACTGTACCAAATATATTAATATTTATAAAAAAATCTTTCATATTATCAAATAATATCAATATAATTTTAGAAGCTCACTATAGTTTTAATAGTTAAATATAGTTTAGTAAATAACTATAGCTAACAATAGTTTTTACAGTTTTCTACTGTTCTCTAGTTCAAACAGTTAACTACAATTATCTATAGTTTTAATTATTGAACTGTAGTTCAAAGTAGTTAATCCATATATATATATAGATAATATGAATTACACAAAAATACAGATTTTAAACAGTTATTTGGATTGCTAATCAATATATCACATCACTACCCACTTATTAAAAAATTGCGTAATAAATATCAGTGCCCTAATCAATTTTAATTTTTTTATAAACAAGTCTAGCATCTAAAAAAAATATAATTATATATTTTTAAAATTACTTTATTGATTATTTAAACTTGAAACATAAGCTTAAATAATTTTGGACAATCTTGGATATTGAATATTAGATATAGTATAGATATATTCCATGTATAGCACTATCTAATGCAGTACTAAGATCTTGGTTGGGAAAACAACTAGGCAATAACTAGAATTAAAGTAGTAAGAAAAGTGGTGAATACAAAAAGGGCTTGTAGTAAAGAGTTAGCTTTACTAAATTTGAAACATCTCTGGTGCTATGTTGAACTGCTTATTAAAAAAAGGTGAAAACAAGAAGGTATATATATCAATAAAGCTCTGGGCATATCTATATAGGAGTTTTCAAATATTAAAAGAATTTAAAAATACTAAAACTAGTATAACTGGTATAAGTTTATTACATGCAGTAGTATAAACAAGCTATAGCTATTGAGAATCACTATAAAAAGAAACAATAAAACATTTGTTATGCAAGAGTCTCATTATACTATCTAACTATATTAGACTCTAGAAAAGCAAAGAACCTGCACAAAACATATCTAGATATTTTATTATTATAGAGAGAAGTATGGATATTTGCAATTACTATATTTAAAACATTAAAATCTATAATACTCTGAAAATCACAAGAAAGTTGGCAGGTTGTGACAATATGCAGGCTTGAGATACTTACTCAATTGGGTAGAGATAGCTGCATGGCTTGAGATATGAACCCCCAACAAGTATGCTAAGTAGAAGTATAAAACACACCAACTTGAAAGCTACAAGTGCTTATTTGTACAATACCAATTTGAAGTTAAGATATTAGATAAGTGGGTAAAGCAGAGAATATGAAAACATTAACTAAAGGTGAGTAGAGATACACAAAAACCAGGTTAGCTATATAGTTGAAATATAGAAAGCTTTGGTAGATTTAGATTATAGATAGTTGATTAAATTATCTAAGCTATAGGTATTTAAAAAATAGTGTACAGTCGACCCTCCCCAAACCGATCCTGTCAAAACTGATAACCTGCTATAATCAGTTAAAAATCGATCCACCATACCTGTTTCATAATCAATACCTGATAACCTGTCTTTTCTGATATCCGGTAGTCTTTTTATTCAAGTTTCTGATAGTGTCACATGAATATATCCAATCAAATCATATAAAACTTACCATTTTCATGTAACATATTCACATAATTCGGCAAAAATCGCACTCATATCACGTGGCTGAAATTTATTTGTATTTTGGAGACATAAATTCCGAAAAGTTATGATATAGAAAATGAATGAACCTAAATTGCTAGCATAGTCGAGGTAAAATTTGCAGCAAGTGTCTGAAAAATTCCGAAGAATAGAACTAATTAAATTTTTAAATCTGATACCCTCCCAAATCCGATACAAAACCTGTCCACCATGCATACCGGTTTGGGGAGGGTCGACTGTATAAAATTGTATTACATAATATATACAAATATATATTTATTAAAAAGTTATAGAGATATTATATCATCTTAATATTAAAAAAAAATAATAAACTTTTATTTATTTTATTTTAAATACAGTATGTGATAGTAAAACAGATCTAATCTGTACATCTAAA